AGACCAAGATCGCAATGACGAAGTCCAAAATAGTCTCTTGCCGAATGTCCAAACAATGTCTGTCTCAGAAATGTTGAATCAGATCCTGGGCAGTGCGCCCGTTACAACCCCAGCCTGAATCCCTCCTGATAACCTCTCACACTCTCAGATTCGAAGAAGAAGAGATAAGGAGGAAGGAGGGTGGAGAGAGAGAGAGAGAGAGAGAGAGAGAGAGAGAGAAGAGGAAGCCCTCCTCGCTATCTCACCTGCAGGTAGCTGTCACCGCACTGACGTCGTCCGTTGTTGCGTGCAGGTACCGYGTGGCGTCCCGCTATGGCGCAGGTAAGCTCGCGGCTCACAGGTATGGCCTCCGCCACTCCCTATCTCCCCTGCGTTCTACTCCCTACACCTCTACCTAGCGCGCCGTAGCGCAGTCTCCAACCAGCAGCATGTCGCTCAGAAGTAAGCGACCCGAACTGTCGTGCCCAGGAGCTGGCCCAGCTATAAGTAGTGCTGGGCCGAGGTGCTGTGCCTTCGACCTGCGATCTGGGCCGTGAGATCGTAGGTCCGATCCATGGTCCAGGTCGCAGGAAAAAGTCCTGTCCCTGGGTTTGGCCTAAAAACGGCCTGCCTGGGTCCCTATCGGACGTCCAGGCTCTCCCTGCTGATACAGCAGGGAGTGTCTGCTACCAGACAACGCGAACCTGGCCTAAAAGGGCCTGGCTACGAATGGAGGAGGCCAAAAACGTGGCCTTGGTCCGAACAGATCGTAGATCTGTTCGGACGAACTGCAAGTCCGRAACGTCACCTGAAACAGACAAAAATAGAACAGACAAACAACAGCACACATAAGTAAAGGAATAAATAAATAAATGACGGCTGCCTCAAATCTGTACCTACGACCTGTCCAATTGCCGTGGGCCTCCAGGTCGCGTGCTTGGAACAGGCGCGCGGCCTAGGGGCCCTGAACAACCTTCGGGCCCAAAAATGGGCCCGTGTGTCAGGCTCAGCATGTAACAAATGGCTCCGCCCGCTGAGCATGATCGTGGGCAGAGCTGAGTGAACTGGGACCCGCTGAGGGGTCAACTCAGGCTCGAAAGTGTAACAAGGTGGGGCCCTACACCGTGCTTTGACCAGGGCCCTTCAGAGGCACCGCCCTCTCCTGCCAGATGCGCCACCAGGAAGAATGTCGAATCTCAAGGTAGAGCGCTCACGACTCCTGAACCAGAAGAGGACACTTAAGTTGAACTCACTTACTCACGGTAAGAAGAGATTGAGATGGGAAGATAAGGTAAGGGAACAACGTACCTGAAGATAGCTGCCCCCAACCACAGATTTCTCACCAATTGAGCCGACGTGCATTTGATGACCGGTCATGGCCTCGGTACCACACAACTCCACAAGTTGTGGCCATTCCACTGAGGGACGATCCCCCTTCTTCCCCAAGTACCCGAAATGAACAAGGTTCGGGTCCACTGAAAAGACTCGAGGAGGGTGTTCTCAACAATGGGTCTCACGTGGTCCCAATATCCCAAGTAGTTTCAATGCAGTCCCCACTGCACCACAACCTCCAAGGATTCTTCCCAACCGACCGCAAGTCCATGCCGACTCAAGTCACTACGTCCGCTCACAATAGTCACACCAACATGCCCGTCCCAATCTCAAAATCAGTCCCACCTGGTCCCAAAATGGGCCCTAGGCGATCCCATGTCACTGTCGCACCACCGAATGGTCGCAGAAAAAAATAAAAAGCTCATGTCGCGGGTCCCAAAAAAAATAATGGCGGCCCTCCGGCAAGTGCCAGCACCTTAAAGGCCATACCACTAATGCCATGCCGCCAAAAGGTTACCGCCGCCGTCCAGAAACACTGTCGTGAAAAAAAACACTCTGATGCGCAATTTCGGCAGCACCGACGCTTGATAACTAAAAAAATCAATATCATCGCACAATCCCAAACGTGCACCAACGTCAGTCCAACCTCTAGACCACGCTGAAATCCGCCATAACAGCCACACACCAAAAGACCCAACGGCGCGACCATCACTCGCCGTGCCTTCAAAACCGGCACCACAACTGTCTAGCAGCACCGCCACCTGCTCACACACCACAACTGGCGCAAAATTATGACAGCACTGCCCCTTAAAAATAATATCGCCAGCATTTTGCAGTGTAATCCGCCGTTGCCGTGCCCCTGATCGAACAACACCTCCCCTTGTCAACACCTATCATTGAAACTCGGCAGCATAGCGACAAAAAGGCTGATGTTACATCTTCGACGCCACACGGGTCCTACCGGACCCGACTTAGGGCTAGAGGGATACATCAGGGCCTAAAGGCCCGACCTTGGGGGATAACAGGCCGAAAGGCCACGACTTGGACCAGATTACGGACCAGGCCCAAACGACATTTCGTTTTGGGCCTGGCGGCGCCGTTTGAGGCTGCCGCTCTCCGGTTGGACCTGAATCGTCGATCTGGACGGTTCAGCCCCAACCAAGGCCTCACAGCATTGAGGCCGGTCCTCTTCGAACCAGGACTTAGTACTGGTCCGGCCTCACTTCGAGGCCATCGACCTACCGGCATTCTACCGGTACAGTATGGTACAGCGCGAAACAGCGCTGGCGCTATGTTTAGCGCAGGAGCGAGGAGCAGTGCAGCGCAGCAGCAGCAGCGGCGACTGAGTGTATCGGCGGCCATAGCCACCTGAGGTATCGGGAGTTGGAGGCTTCTCTCCTCCCTCCCATCGTCAGTCCCCTCTCTCTCTCTCCCCTCCTCGGCTCCCTTCTTCTTTCTTCTCCTCAGATTCCATCTTCTTCTCTTCTTCTTCTTCTTCTTCTTCTTCTTCTTCTTCTTCTTCTTCTTCTTCTTCAGATTGGAGACTTATACTAGTTGGACAGAGATCAGGGTTGGACTTCGGTGGTATGAGACTGTGGTACTTACCGGATYGGAGACTTGGAGATTGTTGGGGTTGATACTTGGCGGCATCACAGTTCGGACACCGGTTACATTTGGACTCTGTATCTCCGACATTGGTGACTGATTGTCCTCGACATTTTGATCTTGTTGGATGACATTTTGGACTACCATACTGGTGACCTATCGGATTCTATCTCGGTGACCTATCGGTGCTGTCTACCTCCCCCACCTCCTTTGTCTCTCGATCTGGGCATCGTCTATGCTTGGCCCAGACCCCACCATCTCATGATTGTATGTGTGTGGAGTGATATCTATGTGAGTCAGTCTATGTGAGTCAGTCCGTTTATCAGACTTCCGCTGCATATATGATCATCCTACATTGGTTGATCTTTGGTTCTGCCCATACTCATTGAAGTATGTAACAGTTGACATCAACACGTCGGCAATCCGACAGCATCACCCCTCGAAATTCCCTGCAGACGGCGGCCAGCAATCGGGCGGCATATACCCTTCAGAATACTGTGCCGCTGCCGATAAATTCGGCAGTATAACCCCCTTGAAATAATCCAGTGTCGTCGAGACAGCACTCCAACGGCACAGTCTCACAAAAAAAACACAGCTTCGATGCGGCAGCACTTCGTCGACAGAACCCCACTGAAATGGAGGCGCAGCCTGCCGCGCTGCTGCAAACCTGCCCAGGGCTCTGGCTCCACTGTGTGTCCGAGGAGTAGCCCCACTGGTGCTGCATCAGCCCAATGCTGAGGCAGAGTGCCCTCAGCATCGGCTATGGCTGCCTCGCCCTCACTCCATCTTCCTGCAAACCGCCAGCGCCTCCACCTTCTTCCTCCAGCAGACCTCCAGCAGTGCTCCTCCAAGCAACTGCCCCTCCAGTAGCAGCTCGTCCAAGCAGCAGTTCCTGCAGCTGCTCGAATGAATGACGCAGCTGGGGGAATAGCTGCCTTTATACAAAAGTCAGAAGCTTACTTTGACTCATCATGAGCCGTTGATCTCGATCAGGAGCCAGGAACAGTCGAGCCTGTTGAGCTCCTCCCCTATTTCCCCTTTTTTTTTCTTTTTTTTTCCCCGTACCGCCTCGTTTCCCTATCAGAGGAAGTGATCCGTTCGTTTGAATGGGCACCCTCCCCCCTCAGTCATTTCACAGATTCGAACTAGAGTCAAGCTCAACAGGGCCTTTTTTTTCCCCCGTGCCTGTACCTGGTGCACTAAGAGCACCGGATATAGGCGTCTCGCTGCCTGTTCCATTCCCTGATGCTGCAACCCGTTCACCAAAACGAACGGGTGCAGCCTCAGAAGGTGGCACCAGAGATGACGGGAAGGGATCTAAGAAGAGAGAGAAAATAAAAAAGAAGAAAGGGAAAAAAAAATCTAACAAAAAAAAGCAGAACTTACCCGCATCTTTGCCTGCAACCCGTTCGTCGAAATGAGTGGGTGCTTGCGCGACTCGTAGAAAACAGGGGGGCGGAAGATGTGTGGGTGTGTATATTTCCATGTCCTGGCTAAAGATTCATTTGATTTTGCTCATCCTATCGATCAAAGTACCACGAGGCCAGCGCCAGGTTGGAGACTTCCTTCTCTCTCTCTCTCTCTCTCTCTCTCTCTCTCTCTCTCTCTCTCTCTCTCTCACACACACACACACACACACACACACACACACACACACACANCAGTAGTGTATAGTTCCATGTTCTAGCGGTAGATTCATTTGATTTTGCTCATCCGATCGACGAAAGTAGCGTGAGCCGGCGGCCAGGTTGGAGACTTACCTGTTGGCCGGCCCGTTGCTCATCCTATCGACGAAAAACGCTCTGCAGCCCGTTTCTCTGAAACAAATAGGCGCAGAGTGAAAACTACAGCTCGTAAAAACGGGAAGGGGGGGAATGTAAAAAAGAAGAAGAAGATAAAAAAAAATAAAAAACGAAATCTAAAATGAAATCTAAAAAGAAATTTAAAAAAGAAACAAAAATAAGAAAAGAAAAACGGAACTTACCTTTGACGAAACGGTTGGACGTTATCACGGGCGTCTGCTACATTCTCTGGGAAGTCCCTCGTCACTTCATACTGCGCCACCTGGCGCTTTGTTTTCGTTCTTTTTTTTTTTTTTTTTTTTTTTTACTCCGTTGGCCTCAAGCCAATGGTCACATTGTAGGCACCTCGCCCTTGTTGAAACGCAAACTTGAGTTTGATCCCTGGCGGGATCGAAAGAAATTTAGACCATTTCTCGATTTATGCGTGTCATCCTTGCGCAGGGTCGTGTCAAACGGCCCGCGGCTGATTTCAGCCGTGCGATCTTATCGATCGCACGATCGAAATAGTTCGCACCCGTACACCCTATGAGACTGGCCAGTTCAAAAAGAGCTAGCCCAGTGCCCGAATGAGGAATGTGGGGGCAGGCGCTTTCCTAAATGGAAGTGGCCTGCCTGCTGCGTGCGACCTGGCTGCACCGGGCCCCGGCCCAGAAGCTTCCGGTAGGCCCCGGGAGGCTGAGCCCCAGTCTGAACAAATCAGGCCCAGGGCCTGTGACAGTTATCCGTGCCCAACTGCCCGCAGCCGGTGTTGGGTCCTTGTTGCGTATCTCGCCCAGGGCCTGACTCAGATGCATTTGATAAAAGTAGCTAGGGCCTGGGCGCTTTCAACCAACTGGCGCTGCGCAACCGCCTGAATTTCCCCAGTAGCGTGGAGGTCCCAAAATAGGCCTTGGTCAGGCCTACCTTCACTTAGGGCGGCAGACGGTACTGAAAAGAGGGCCCAATACGGCTTATCGAGGCCTTGAGCCTCGCACTTCTTCTGTGTTGAACCACACCAACATAGAGAGCCTTGCACTCTCAGGGGCGGTGGGGACCAAGACAATCAGAGGTGAGACAGTGAGAACACAGGGCTCTGTCACCAAGCATTTCCATCCACTATTCTAATTTTTCAAAAGACAAATGTGACAGACTCGTTGACCTATCTGAGAGGAATACGAGATGGAAAAAGGCAAGCTGATTGTCAATCATTGACCTAGCGGAGCAATCAATGCTGATCAGGGGTCCTTCGGCGCAATGGAAGGAAGCGCGAGGGTGATAATGTTTTCCAGACTTGATCGGGGCCCTGGACCATAAGGACGTGTTTTTTCTTTCTTTATTATTAAATATCATTTAAACAATCTGAATGTGGTTAAAATGAAAAAGGCTGCACAGAAATAGGCCTAAAGAATGGTTTCAGTGTGCCTCATGCGACCTGTTCGTTTCTTTATTTGTTTCGCAGAGTGTGCTGTTTTAGTTGATAGACATGTTGTAATATATAATCCCATCCGTACGCATGTGGGCTGATTCGTGTGAACTCACACAGGCCAAGAGTTGATATGCGGCAATTGGCCATACAATTCGGGTGTGTGCGCCTCATCGGGGCAGTTAACCGCGTTATCAATCTGTAAGTTATTTTCCTGTGATTCCGTGACTCATATCATGTGCCCTTCATATCTGTGATTCTTTTTTTCTGTCTTTTGTGGTCGTGGTGGGGGGCGGTTGCCCTTAACATTCTTGCAAATGGTGTGACGAAGCGATGGTTATTTGATAAGGTTTTTAATGATTTCATAGCTAAATCATTTTTACGTTTTAAAGCATTGGTTGGAGCAAGAAAAGTGAGAAAAAGTAAACAAAAAGAATAATAAGAAGTCAAAAATACAGAAAGACTTCCAAAGTTTATGTTTTTATGTTATTGCAGCATCAAAACGAAATTCTGAATTCTCTACAGAGGCTGGATTAAAATATTTCATTTTAGGTGCCTTTTCCTCTGGGATTTTCTTATTCGGTTGTTCTATGATTTACAAAATAAAAATGTCAGATGTTGGTATGGCATTTGGTCGAATATGTGATGCTGCAGAGGTTTTGCTTGTTATCGCACCATAAAACAACCGACAAGGCATTGCCGCGATCTTGGACCTTGGAGATGTGCCAAATGTGCAGATGATCCATACAGTCCAATAGAAAGAGTCTGGTAGAGAAACTGGTAGGTCGAGGTAAAGGTGTATAGATTGAGCAGAAAACCTAGGCCACCAGGTCTAGGACCTGGTACGCCTTGGCCTACTGGCCGAGGAAAAGTGCGGTCAGGCTTGTTTTTTGTACCTGAGTTTAGCGTACTGGTACCGAACTGAGGCCTACCAGTAGTCTGGGGGCTAACCGTTTCTTCTCGGGACTGCAGGATACTCAGGTGGAACCTTCCTCACAATCACCCTTAGGTGCTTCACTTGATGTAGACTTCCAGAAGACCAACATATCTGGTCCGAGATAGCTTTTGAGGACACTTATTCGGAGTGAGATGAGTCCTCTGCAGCGGAAAGGTGGCAGCGAGCAGGCTTACCATAGTCGCTTGGATGTGGAGAGAGTAACGGCGATTTTTCTGTTGGGAGGTCAGCAGTTGGTCCTGGCCCGAAAGAGAGCATATCAGAATGACTGCATCTGCAGCATCCATTGTTAGCCGACAGAGCCAGAGGTCATGCAACTAGCAGTAGAGTGGGGTGTGCGTTCGTGTGTGTGTGTGTGATGTCGTGTGTGTAAACACACACTTCGAAATAGCCTCGGCATGCAGACTACATGCCCCACACCGACGTTTGACAACAGGGATTGCTGAAATTGACATATCAGTAGTTGCATTCATTCATCATTCGTCACTGGCTCGTAAAAACCATAAGGCATGCTATCCCATATTAACCTCGTTCCATAGCCCGAGCACTTCAGTCCCTGAGGTGAGGAGAGACCGACTGACAGCATAGTTTACCGTTTCGATACATTGATACAAACATGCAGAAATCGTATGGTACAGTAGGCCTATTCTCATGCACATATCAACCATAGAGAAGGCAATTCCGGATACTTATACTAGTAGGCGTGGAGATTCCAGCTCTCAAGAATGTACTTGCAAACAAATCATATATAATGGGAGTTGTTAGATTAAGGAAACTCATACATCCAAATAGTGGGGGAAATCGCTCACTTATTTACTTCGAAAAAATCTGGTTTATTCTCTCGGAAAGCATCGTCAAACCAGCCTCGGGAGCTCCGGCAAGAACCAAGGAGAAAGTAAGCAAGAAAGGGCAGTATATGGTCTCTGAGCTAGTTTGATGAAAAAAGCATATCTGGAATCACACCGGGTACAAAGGTACGTGAGCGAGAAAAATCACACATGAAAACGAGAAGGTGAGACTTCAAAGCCTTTTAAACAAACACGAAGAATATGTGTTCGAACGAATCAAATGCTCATAACCCGTCATACCGATTCACCAAATGAAAATCAGGTGGTTAAGCATAAGTCAACAATTTATTCTACAGCCCAACCGTTATGATATGTCACAATGAAACGAATCATTCGCAAAGATCTACATTGACCAATCGCCTGTACACTCTCAGCTCCTCGCTGCTTCGTTTTTACAGCCCGTTAAGCGCAACGCTCAACTCCGATTATACACAGCAATGCAATCCTACAGCGACTTAAATCTGTACCCATCATCATGCCAAACGCGCATGATGGAAATTGGTCAGATCAACCAAAAACGTGAGCCGATGAAAATCCTCCTGTTTTATTAATAGCTCTCGCAACCCGATCCCTTCTTATTGAATCCGGAACTATCAAACCCTCCTTTCAAATAACTCGACGCCGATCGCCTTATCCATCCTCAACTCCAATCCACCCCTTCCATGATCCTTTCTCCTCCATATATACAACTCCCTCATACTCAGAAATCGTACACCTCCCAACTCAAAACTCTGGTGACGTCATCACCCCATGGTGAGCTTCGCTCAGGCCGCAGTCCCGAACCAACGCACGTTGATTATCTGCGAATAGAATCTAATCATATCCCTCCCCATTGCAACAACGAACCCCCATACACGAGCATGCAGTCCATAGGATATCTCACACGAAAACACATATCACAAGAGCATGCGACAGCACACAACGGTAAGCATAAAAAAAAAAAAAAAAAAGAAGAAGAAGAAAAAAGAAAAATTGTTCCAGAAAAATCATCATTCAATTATACATACTATTTCCTGGTTCTAGATGTATCACCATTCGGTCACACCCAGGACCGGTAACACTTCAGCAGCAAAGGAAAGCAAGCTGGGGAGAGTGGCAAAACCCTAAAACCAGTTTTTTACTGACATGCCACATCATTGTCAGATCGTCAGAGGAAAAAAATTGTAGCACTGTTAATCCTACTGCCTTATGTTCACAAACCAGGATTTTCGATAATATACATGCATTCCATTTTTGTTAAGACGATAGTACTTCCGGTAATATCCGAAGAAATCGGAAATAGAGATTTAGAAAGAAGGGAGGATGAGATATTTTCGGAAAGAAAGTAGTGAGGGTGTGTAATAGGGACGGGGGATTTTTTTACACTATGACCAGATGTGAGGTTTCTACGAGACCTTCACCTCAGGCGCAGCCTCTCCCTGCGACTCATCAACTCGAACTTCCACCCTTAGGTGTTCTTCCAGCATCTCCTCAAAGGAGAGCGCGTTATCCATCTCCTCAGACCACCTTGCAGGAATTCCACGCAACCTCCCCTTCTGGGATAATCCTGATCGCTACCTTCGCCGGGGCAACAACTAGGGCGATAGAGATAGCAGCCGTGCAAGACAGCGAAATGCTGGGGAAGCAGCGCGATGGTGCCAGCAAGCATGACACCGTGAAACCCGTCTTCACTGTCACAACAGTTCTCTCAGCCACTTGTGTTATCGGGACTCGCAGGCAATGCTCCACGAAGGAGGTAGTACTATCAGCATGCGCAGACATAGTAGTACCCAGGTCGCGAAGGATCACCGAAGTAGGCTAGCGCTGCGCAGCGTTTCACCGACTCCGGAGATGCACCGCGCCTTCAAAAACCTGAGGAGATGAACCGGTAGCTTTCTCCGTTAAATAGCTCTGTCTTCTATTTGCTACCCGGTAGTACCAGTCCCAAATCCCTCGTGACGGTCCCAAACCCCTTAATCGGTAGTCCCCCATTTTCATCAGTCCCTAGTCAGGTACCAACCCAGAAGCAATTTTCCCTTTTTGTGTGGGAACTTCGGCTGAACCCTCTGCCATCCGCTATAGGTGCCAAACTTTTTTTTTTGTAGGCAACCATCCGTTTTACCGGTACAGTAGGGAATACCCATTATTTTCTTAGCATTGCTCCACCCCATCAAAATATTTCTACTTCTAATTCTTTACTATCAATATTTTTCTCACTTTTTTCTTTTTTTACTACCTTTTATCCTTTTATTTATTACATCTTTCTTTTCTTATTATTATTTTTATTTTTTCAAAAAAATCCCCCATATTATCACTCTCCTTCTTATTTGTTTCCTACGAGTTCTCTCCTTTCATAAATACTATCTTTTTAGGAAGATATCCATCTTATTTGTATCATATATTTTTTTCGAAAAATAAATAGAGTTATCATATTTTATGTGTGTGTGTGTGTGTTGTCTTATTTGTTTCCTACGAGTTCTCTCCTTTCATAAATACTATCTTTTTAGGAAGATATCCATCTTATT